TGGCTAGCGTTTTATAATTTGAAGTCAGTTTTGAATTGATATATGACAATGTCGCCAAATCATTTAACTGTCTTTATAAATATTCGTATAAATTTTTCCATAGCGAATATTTGAATTACTTCACTTCGATCAAACTTTGAAATGTTCGAATTCATATAGTGGTTGTAAAAGATTTATAAACTTTAACCATTCATTTTAAAATATATTTAATTAAGATAGATTACTTAGTACTGAAATAGTGTACTTATGTATTTGAAAAATATTTATAGTCCGAACTTTGAGTACAAAAGATAAATTCCATTTAAGTTACAATGAATTAAAAAATTTGGCTGAGCATTTTAGGTATTTTAATTTTAAAGTTGAGCAGACATATTGACAATATTAGAGAGAGTGAAACTTTTGGCTGATATTTAAGGAATTTCATCATTTCATTTAATTAGGTGGTAATTACAACAAGCGCATATTGTTATACCTTTTTTTAATTAACGTGGCAGAATTTTTGAGCGCTTAACTTAACTTCGTTGATTGATTGTAATTTATTTAGTTTTTTGTTGAAAATTGATTATTGGACAGGAAATTTATAATTAGAATTCATTTAATTGTCTTATTGTCGTCCATTTACTCATTGTATTTTATTGAAATAAATATATTAATTTGAATTAATTATTACAAATTATTACAGAAAACATTAATGCCTTCTTTTGTATAACTGTTCATTTGATAGTTAGACGAAGATTTTGCTAGAGATATCATAGAGATGTCGTAGAGTGTCGAGATCGGAGAAATTTCGCTGAGAATATTCCAAAAATTCCAATAAACTACGAAATAGTAAATTTTCCCATTATATCGTCCCTGTAATTTGTCATTGGTCGCTTTCATATGCTTCTGCTGAAAAAATTGAAGGGATCGAAAGATTCTCAGAGAAATGATTATCGATTCCGCGGGACTCTGAGAGCTATTAATGTTGCTTTCATGTGAAGCAGAAAACACAGACAGAGCAATAAATAATGTTAAGACATGTATTGATCGATTTAAAACTTACCTAAAATAAGCTTCTCAGATAATCTTTAGAGGATTTTCATGTCGGATAATTAAAGCGAATGAATTGGTGAAGTGAGGAATGTGGTAAGAAATGAGGTGAAGTGGACAGGTCGAAAGTTAAATGGTTATCTCATACTCCGGTACACTTTTGCATAAGTTCATATGTTATATCAAACAACATTCCTCTTTGTCCTCATCACATTTTTTTCAGGAACAGATATGAATGGAATCGGCGGGAACTCCTCCACCTGTTGGGGACACAATTATGACGTCATTGTGACCTAAACTGCAAATAACATTTGACTCCTTAATATTCCTTCCTTTTGCATATCAAACGCTTAAATATTGTTTGAATTGGATTTTAAATTAGAATACAAAAAGTGAGATAAGATAAGAATGATTGATATATTAACTTTCATGTTTGTTGAACTTTGAACTGATAATTATTTCACCCATTTAATCATCAAATATGGAAATTTATGGATTAAAGAACTGATAGATAATATTTGTTATCATCTCATTGTCAATTCCAACATTGGCTACTTCCAAAAGAAATCAATTATCAATTAGTGCTGCTTATCACTTGGCGATGATAACAAATAAAGGGAAATTCGATTTATTGTTTGCATATTTTTTTAGAATTTCTATATCCGAACATCATTAAAAACTTGAAAAAGAAAGAGAAAAGAGAGAAAGAGACAGAGAGAGAGAGAGAGAGAGATAAAAGACATTTAATGATTTTTTATGTAATGTCAGGACATTTCCTTGCATAGTGAAAGAGAGCGGTTTACAGCGTTATCGTTAGTTGGTCGGACATTGGGTCAAATTTTTCTGGTGGTCACTACACCATTGCAACAGTTATACGGTAAGTTATACATAGCATACTGCAATTTAGGAAGAACAAAAATAATAGCTGTTGCATCAACTAACACAGAAGAAATTTGCTACCAATGCCTTTTCCCTCTCAATTTGGTACTACCTGCAATTTGCTATCTCTCTATTTTACCTGTGATATTTTCCCTTTTCTCTAAATACTATTCCCACCTTTCCTATTTTCAATTCAATCTTTTCTCCGTCAGAATTCTAAAAGTAATCACAAATATTTTATATAATTTGAATAAACTTAAAATATTAAAATGAAACATGAAGTTTATATTTCTTTTTCTTTTCTTTATCGATCTGTAAAAGAACAAATGTTGCGATCTTTGTTGGATCAAAGAGAAGAAATTAATTTGACATTAATAAGCTAAACGAATTGATTTAAATTCAAAAAACTTTTTTCCGTTTTCTGAAATTAACTCATTTTTGAATCGTTGGAATTTAGTTGAATGAAATGATAAGATATTCATCAAATTCAATCACAGAAAGTGAAATATTTCAATCGAAAGTTCATAAAGAATAATCAATTTTGGAACAAAAGAAAATTTACTTTTCCCTCGGATATATTCATTCCCTCACATTGCTAATATCCAACTATGTGAAATAATGGCAAGGATTGCCCTCTGCATCTATGCTATTTACAGGTATTTTTTCATAATTTATCTACCATGAGGTCAAGTTCACCGATCACATCACATTGCATCACATCCTAACCGCGTCACCTCAATAGAAGATCACCCCCTCTTACCCCCAGTGCAGTAACTTGCAGCGATCCGTTCGTCGCTTCTAGCTGTTGCCATCGTTCATAGACAATTACAACTCTTTCATTTTTTTCCCGGTGCATGTGTTGTTTTCCGGTTCCGTACTTAAATATCCTAAATTATATCGTAGAATATCTCTCTTGTTGCACGTTTAAACAATTCTCGAGCTAATTTTGGAAGAGGAAGAGAAATGTCACAACGACGTATGTCAAGGACAAGTGCAAACGAACAGAAACCCAGTTCGTCAAGTTCATTTCGTATTTCGGATCCGACTATCATTGATTCGACGGTTAACACGACGGTGCATACCGGATTTACTACACCAATCAGCAATTCTGTCCCACCAGTTTTCAACACCTTAAACAATCCCTTTGCTTTTATCAACAATCGTGTACCTAATAATAATGACAATGACAATCGGAACTATTTATTTTCAACCGATCGATTCAATCCTCCACTTTTACAACCTAATATTTCACCTTATGCTGGTATTATCAATAATGATCCAAGATTCCATTCTACCTCAGCGATTTTTGCAAATCCACTTCGGCAATACAACTCAATGGCTATTAATGGGACAACAACATTTGATCGGTTCTTACAATCTCTTCCGCCATCACAAGGGGCCGCCGCGATAAATACATCAGTTCCTGTAATCAGCATAGCTTCTGCTACTCCTACTATTCCGGCGGCAGGACACACATCATTACTTCCAATAGCTGCAACCAATAATGTGGAGCCATCAGCATCATCCAATATTCCGCCACCTTTATTGAATGATCAGCCATACAGATATTTGCTATCATTTGAACAACAAGCTAAAATAGCGCATGAAGCAGCGATGCATTACGCAAATTTAACGGAACATTTAATGGAACATGCAAGGAATGCAGCGGCAGCCGAAAATATGCCGCTACCGCCATTACCACAAGCGGTATTTTCAATGGTTCAAAAATATGATCAAAAGAAAGAATCGTTGCAAAATTTTCAACAACAACAACAACAACAACAGCAACAAGAAGGAGAAAAAAAGGATCAGCATCCAACATATCTTACACTTAACAACATGGCTACATTTCCGCTTTCTGATGCAAACACAGGAGTAGATCGTAATATTTCTGATCAACAACAAATATCTTCCGGATTACTTGGACAGAAACGATCGTTCACTGCTCCATTCTCTGAATCAGTACCAGTGATGAAAGCTCGATATTCAGATACTGTATCTAATACCACTGACACTACTCCTTCTCGTTCCGAAAGTAATTCGTCAAATAAAACAACAGCCGAAATATTACCCGTCTTATCACCGCATCCATACTATCCGGCATCGATGGAAAATAACTTTGAGCAACAGCAAAATGAAGTGAAAATGGATGAAAATGGAAGGAAGAACGTTGCAGAAACGGTAGTAATTTGTTTATTTTTGATCTCTGCCACCTTTATTTGTTGCCGCCACTTATGGCATTACGAATTTATACAGTTTAATGCTTTGAAATGAGAAAATTAAGTTAGGGACTTTTAGAATGCTTACATACTAAAATGACTTTCGCTTACGAGCGATACATCTTGAACTGGTAGTATTGTTGTTTTGAAGTTTTGCGTCCCTACCTAAAATAAATCAATTTTAGGTTAATCAATCAATAATTACACCATTACGAACAATTCAAGAACGCTTCAATGGGATGAATGCAAATTACGAAACGAAAGCAGACAGAATTATTCTAACGCATGAGAACACGTCAAAGAATTCTAGCACAAATGCTTCTGATATAACGAATACATCATCACAGCCCAATTTTGATTCTGGAATTTCGATGAGCGCAAGTTCAACGGATAAACGGGAGCAGTTGTCCTTTGATAAGCCATCTTGGCCTACTTCATTTACCGTAAGCAATATCCTGGTAGGAAATGAAGGAAAAGGCGAAATGGATTCGTTAAAGCATGTAACAGAATCAACAACAGCTTTAATATTGAACCAAACGAAAGCGTTAAATCCACAGGTAACAACAAACATACCGGTAATGCCAGCCAGTAACGTACTGCCATATCCGGTTTCACAACAAAGTATGTCCGCTCTTTATATTCATTAATAACATTAGAGTTCAAAATTGTCAAGTATTTCCAGAAATGATTGTTGAAGGAAATAAATTTGAAATCAATACACCTGGTAATAAGTTTCGAAAGCTTTAAATGATATGAATCTTGTTGCTTCCAATTATTTCGTTGTAACTTTCAGAATTCTTTCAGCCATACAAAATTGCATAAACCAAGTAGTACAAACATCCGGATCTTCAATTATTCGTGCGCCATTCAAAAACTTACCAGGATATACCATAACAACAAGTGGATTATTGATCACACCAGATGGACGAGCAATCCCACCAGCTGTGTATAATTGTTTTGGTATACCGCGGCAACCATTAGCTTCATTGGATTCAAATCAAGAAGATGACAATAATTTATGTGCTATATGTGGTGATAAAGCCTCAGGAAATCATTATAGTGTACCAAGTTGTGAAGGATGTAAGGTAATAAATACATTACATGTAAAACATAGAATGACGGAAATTTTAGGCTCCGTTCTTCTTACATGAAGTTGATGGAAAATATTCCGGAATGGTATGCAAACTTAACATTTCGAATGTTTTCTTTCTTATTTTTATAATGTTTAACTATCTCACGTTGTGAAGAATCTGAAGAAAATGCTGTTCGATTTCAGTAATTACTAATTGACCGGTGAATGAAATTTATAGGGTTTCTTTCGAAGGACTATACAGAAGAAAATAGAATATGTCTGCTACAAGCAAAATTCTTGTTTAGTCGATCAAAAAAACCGGAACAGATGTCAGAGCTGTCGGTTTAAGAAGTGTCTTCGGTTAGGCATGCGTCAAGAATCGGTACGTTTGGATCGTAATCGACGACGGAAAAAGGATGAAAGCAGGTGAATAATATGATATATCAGAGTAAAGGAGATTTTATTATTTCACATACAGATGAGAAATGTGAAATAATGATTTTTCAGAGAAAAAGAAATAGAAGAGATCGAAGAAATGAAAAAGCTTAAAGCTACAATTATCAGCGCTTACCGCGAAGCATTTCCTCCAGGATTTACTATCGATAATCGGGATGAAGCTGTAGAGAGGATTCATATATTCCTGAATAATATTCCGATGATGAATGAAATTAATGGGAAAGATCGAGAAAAAGTGATTGACAATGGTGTTTATGCAGCTTTGGTGAATTCTAACTCTTTCAACTTTTTTCTTATCAGATATTTTTGATGACTTGAAAAGTGTAAACTGAAATTATCCATTTATTATTAAACAAACCTTTCTCTCCCTATCTTTTTCTATTAAGAGATATATGCTTTACACAGACTTTGCGTACTTCTTTCACAACTGAAAACTATGAAGCAATTGTGGGTGTTCGTAGCGAAGCGTTAGAACAATGCGTGAATGGTTTGGGATTCGATGTTAATGAAGAAGAAATGGCAATTCTGACAGCATTCTGTTCGTTGCAAAACTGCATGGGAATGGATGACACTAACAAAATTCAAAATGTAAATTTTAACATTAAAAAAAATTTACTAAGTCTGAAATTACTTTGCTTTAGCTTATCAAAAGGTTTTTAAAAAAAAAAAAATTTTTACAGATCGCTGCCAAATTATGTAACTGTCTCCGTGTTCATTTGACAGCTTTCTACGATGGAATAAACGAAATTCTGTACAAATGCATGATGAGTGTAACGGCGTTAATGCTAATGCAAGCAAGCACTTAAACTTAACCAAATGTCTAAGTTGCATAAAATGTGAGCTAAAACTGTTTACCTTATTTTATACTTATTTATTGTTATCTTATTATTTCAATTTCTCTTTGAATTAATTTTGGCATAATTGTTATCACTGTTATCATTATCATTATTCTATCAACCGTATATTGATGAATTGTATCTCTTCATCCTATTATTGTTGCTTATTTTAGTATTATATGTCTTTGGACAATAGTATGTCTGATTTACCGAACTCTTTTCCTCTTATGGATTTTTAATATTTAAAAGCATAATTGAAAATGAATTTGTTCTTTCATTTACTATCATTAAACGGGCCATTGTCGAAAATTCTTCGTTATTTATATATAAGTAATAATTTCTCTTTGATATAATCTTTTATTTCATATATTTTAATTTAATATAATTTCTCTTCAACTTACTGGTCATTTTTTTGATATGTGATAGCTGTTGTGATGGTATGTTAATTTTATTTTCAATATTAGGAATATATAATTTGTATTTGTTTACTCTAATATTGATAGGAATGCTATTATCACAATAAACTAAGCCAATCACAACATCAATAAGCGTTTTTTTGTAAACAACAATACACGGACAAATAAATAAACAAACATATAAGCAGATTTAATAAAAAATTTGACTTCATTGATTTAATTACATAATAATGGTTACTTTTCAAAAATCGATAGAATCCTTCTGTAGATTCAGAATAGGATTTCAATGAATCGATCTCATTGACGTGAATTACAAAATCATCGTTTGCAAACTTTAATTAATTGGCATATCGTTTCCAATATCTTAATTCTCATATATGTTATTACTATATTTCAATTCTCACTTAATACATTATTTATCCTACAATTTCCACGAATAAAAGCATAGGGGCGATTCGAAAATACCGTATCCAATAAAGAATTCATTTTAATCAGTAAAATAAATATTCCGTAGTATCCGAGAAAAAAACATTTGAAATTGTTGTTGGTGAAGAGATTGCATATTCTGAATTTAACAAGATAGAAAAAGAATATCACTGTTGCGCTTAATGATATTGTAGAAATTGCAGAAAAAAGTTACTGTTGCAAATCGTCCGAACCATTACAACAATCTTTCTCGGAATAAAACTGCAATTCACACGATTTTTTTTTGCTAACAAATATTCAGTCATCATTAGTTTCATATTTATTTACAGAAACTATTTCTCCGACCTTAATGACCCCTCTAGACCCGCCTAGAATATGAAAAACTAACCTCATATTGCAATCCAATCGTTGACTCCTCCCAGCACCTCAGGTATTGCCATCAATAATCTTACATAACCTACATCGAAGAATGTTGTTGTTAGGTTGGTTGCATTGCCATTCTTCTGCACATTTTCAACACTAAAACTTTCCTATGCAACTCATTTACTGTTTAATGAATCTCCTCCCATTTGTTACTTTGATAAAACGAATTCAATTTTATTAAAACTATTAACTTTAATTTACTAATTTAAGATTACATAATGACACTTTCACAATCACACATATCAAAGAAGGAAAGTATATTGCAATTTAAGAATGTTTTTTAATAAAATCATCCATCACTGTCGTTTGTTATCAATCATCTGTTATTTTAAATCTAATGAAATTTCCATCGTTAGATTTAAAATAACAGAAATGATATTCAACAGAGATTTTATCAATTCATTCATCATTATCATTTAAAATTTCCATCATTATCATTTAAATTTCCTTACTGTTGAATATCATTACTGTTTGATATGTCCAAAACTTACTGTTTGATATGTCCAAAAACAAACGGTATTAATGATGAATTTCTTACATTAATTAATGAATTAATGTAAGAATTAATGTAAGATGAATTAATTAATTAATGAATTAATGTAAGAAATTAATATTAATGAATTACTTACATTAATGATGAATTTCTCGGTTGTCATCGATATCACGCTCATAAATTTGTTTTCTTATCGATTTCATCAATTTTTCTTCTCATTTCGATAAATTCTTTCAGAATCATTGATTGATACTAATATTTACGTCCATTTCAGTTTATCCTGCAAATGAAACTGAAATTTGCATATATTTGTACAGAATGAAAATATTTCATTTCTTGAAAATTACTTCGGTATTATTAATATTTAATAGAATCAGAAACATTATATTGATTGATTTATCGAAATTACTTTGACAAGTTTTAGAAACTATTGCGAAGGAATGAACGTTTCGTTTACTTCAACGACTTTTATTTTATAAAATTTACAAAAACAGAGTTGTTTTAGGAGGAATTGACCTTATTTTCAGCCTATTATTGACAATTCTCAATCTTTCAAATTTATATATTTCTTCATTATATCTTTCATTTCCTTTCAGCCTATGAGAAACCAAATCAAATTGATCAGTTAAATTGTACACAGACGTACGTGTACACATTCATGGTTAGAATGTAATTGATTATACGTGTTTCGGTTACGTTTTCTACGTTGAGAGATTCATGGATCTATAGCTAAGGCTGGATTATACGTGTTTATAATGTGAACGAGATTGCACGTATTTATGGATAAGTCAGCAATGAAACTATTTATAGTTAGGTGTTAATTAACTATAAAAATTTGTGAATAATTTTATCAAAAAATTTTATTAAAAAATAATTAACTCTTTGTTATAAAAACTACTTATTTTTATTATTGGATTTGCATTACAAATGCAATACTAACATATAATTAATTAATTATCTTATTTTTCGTTGCTCTAAAGATTTTATTATATCT